CCCTCCTTTCCTTCCTTCCTTCCTCCTTCCTTCCTTCCTTCCTTCCTTCCTTCCTTCCTCCTTCCTTCCTTCCTTTCTTCCTCCCTCCTTCCTTCCTCCCTCCTCCCTCCCTCCCTCCCTCCGTCCTTCCCCCCGTTCCTCCTTTCTTCCCTTCCTCCTTCCTTCCCTTCCTTCCTTCCTTCCTTCCCTTCCCTTCCTCCTTCCCTTCCTTCCTTCCCTTCCTTCCTTCCCTTCCCTTCCTTCCTTCCCTTCTTCCCTTCCTTCCTTCCTTCCTTCCTTCCTTCCTTCCTTCTTCTTGCATGGCACTCCTCTCTGTCACTTCTGTGCACTCCGCTGCCCTCTCTCTATGTTGTCCTACTTATACTTCCTTTTGTGATGGAATAGCAAAGGCGCCAATCACTCTGCATGTGGGAGAGGCATCATTGACGGTTCCATTCTCAGTGGAGACAGCAAAGCAGCTGGAGGCAGCCATAGCCAAGCTTCTGAACACATTTCGACTGAAGGAGAAGGCATCTCGTCCTCAGAGATGGGAGAACATGGAATTCCGTCACAACGGGGATGTTGCTAACGGAGACGTGTTTCTAGAAGTTTTCTGCAACCCAAACGCTTGCTCATCACCTTTTCAAGCCAAGGTTATGATCACAATGAGAGATGACAGAGTGAAGTTTACGTCAGAAGCACAGTTGAGCGATTTACAGTCAGACCTGGGTGCCTATATGGAAGCTAATGCTTAACTTCGCAAGAAAAAATACTTACTACCCACTTCAATTTTGGTTCAGTAAACTTCAGTGGATGAGCCTAGTAGGTGTCAACAAAATCGATTTGTATTTTTAAGTTTTAGCGTTTGAATCTTTATCCAACTTTGACAAGTGACGATTTCCCAGATTGCACATTTCTTTCTGATGCCAGCTGTGCATGTCTGAGTGCATGGCGGCAGCGAGGCGTAGAGGTGGTGATCCACAGTTCGTCAAATTGAAGAGACATGATGGGGGAGTGTGCGTGTGTGTGTGTGTGTGTGTGTGTGTGTGTGTGTGTGTGCGCGCGCGCCCGCGCGTTTGTGTGTGTGTGTGTGTGGTGTGCGTGAGTGTGTGTGAGATACGTATCCTCAGTGACTGAGCTGCACACCAAGACATGGTATTGCCAAGGGAACAAACTGGACATGAACTCCCAGAGGTGCATTCGAAAGCTTGCAAGCACAGTGCACTTTTGAGCATAAGACCCATGTGTGTGGTCAGCACAGGTACCCGACCAAAGGTACGCATAAAACAGGCGGACAGCAGTAGGTAGGAGAACAACAAACAAAACATGATAGATTAGTGCCAGACTGTTTTGTCGGGCTTGCAGCGACCCATCAGGTGGTTGAACCCTCAACAGTCTGTAGAATCCCCAGATTGTGATGTTTTCAATTGTTTTGAGACAACCTACTGCTCCAGTTGTGAGCTGACAGCCAGGCAGGTGAGAATGCAAGCAGAAAGGGGAGGGGGGGGCAACAAGGCACCATGCGGCAAGCAGCAACAAAGCACATAGGCTGGAGGGCGTGGGGGAGGGAGGTAGGCCGCCAAACGACAAGGCGAGCAGCAGAGCAGCACGGCCAGCAGCAGATGGCGAGGTGGAAAAGCAACAAAACATCAAGGCAGCAAGGTGGGAAAACAGCAAGGAAAAAAGGCAGCGAGGCAAACGGATTTGCAGCCAGGTAGTGAGGCCGCACACAGGGCAAGCAAGAGTGTACGGCACCCTGATGTACAGCACCCTGATGCCCTTGGCCACAGATACCAAGGGGGCCCGCTGCCCAGCTATCTATAGTGCTGGGAGAGGCTGGGTCTTGCCTGGTGCTGGCCTCAAACGGCCCAGCCGGTCTGGGTCCCTACCGGACGTCCAGACCATGCTGCTGATGCAGCAAGGCGCGAAAACGTGCCTGGCCTTGGTCCGGCCTCGTTTCTGTGTACCTGGCCCAAGGTGCTGCCTTGGTGCCTGCAGTTCGAAACGACGTTGGTACCGTCGAGTCAGGCGCCAAACACGCCTGGTTTCGGAAGGGCCTCGTCCCTCTGTACCTGGCCCAAGGTGTTGCCTTGGGGCCTGCAAGTCCGAAACGACGTCTGCACAGACAAAGAATAGGCCAACAGGTAAGTAAATAAATAAATAAATAAATACTGCCGCCTATATTTGAAGTCTGCGGCCTGGGGGCCGCTGTGGGCTCCAGGGCACGTCTGATGGCATGCGGCCTGGGGGCCGCTGTGGGCCTCCAGGGCACATGTCTGATGGCATGCGGCCTGGGGGGCCCTCAGCAACCGCCGGGCCCCTCGAATGGGGCCCGTGTGCAGGCGCAACATGTAACACATACACACACACACACACACACACACAGAGAGAGAGAGAGAGAGAGAGAGAGAGAGAGAGAGAGAGAGAGAGAGAGAGAGAGAGAGAGAGA